GGGGGGGGGGGGGGGGGGTCGAGCTCAGCTTTTCCGCCTTCGTGATTGTCTTGGAAGGGATTCGGGATGCTCGGCACTGCTTTCGCCCAGAAATCTCATAGTTGACAGATCCTGCTTGCTCACGACAACTTCAAGAACAACCTGCAGAAGTTCGTGAGCAACCTCATTCAAAACACATCAACACGTTCTTATAGTCCTATACCATATCATCTACCTACCAAGACTGTCCAGGAGATGCGCATCCAACGCTCAACAAAGTGCTTTGGAACCACATGCGGAAGGTCACCAACCTTGGCAGACATTGGAAGGCGCAGCCGAGTCAATCCAGACAGTTCCTTCGAGATCACCCACGTGCTCAACAACACGAAGGTCACATCGTGACAGGTCTAGACATGCTCCATGTGGCAAAATCCCAGGCCGTTCTCGCCGATGTCTTCGCCAACGTCGGTGTAAGCAACGCCTTTTTCCCGTCCAAGCACAGATCACAACAACACATGGCAGATCAATTCCAAAGTTGGTTAAAGCATCATCAGTTTCCCATGGACCACCGCATCCTCGAAGAGTTCGACGAGTTCTTCCAATCTCAGTGGCAAAGACACCGGGAACACCTCAAGCGAGAGCCTAGGCTCACACATCGGCTTCTCAAACATCTTGTCGCGCTCATCCCCGACGACTACATCATCCACAACGAAGACCACGCCAACTCCCACTTGATGATCTATTGCCCCAACGTCTGCAATCATGCGGCCTACAACACCTGGATGGACAAGAAAACTTTCCTTTCTCTTGACAAAAGCCCGGAAGACATCAAAGAAGACATGAAGAACCGCACCCCGTCCCAGATCATCAAGCACTACAAGAAGCTCCTGGACTATCACAAGCCCAGACCCTACGGCTACATCATGATGAAGCGGGGAAAGCAATGGAGCAAAGGACGCACAATCATAGCCTACTCCAACACATGCGTCGGCAGGATCCTGAAGGTTGCTGCCCTTGCACTCCAGCAAATGCTCAAAACCATTTGGGCACATCACTTTGGCAACATCGCCACACCTCAACTGCGGCAAGAAGTCCACCAACTTTTTCAAGCCAATGAAGAGCATCCGGTGAGAGAACTCGTTTTCCTCAACCTGGGTTCTTTAACAGCATCCCCCAGGATGATATACTTCGAAGCGTGCTCTTTCTCACCGCAAGTTCCTGCAGAAACAACAACGAGATGATGCTGGTGGACCCACACAGCAAAATCAGTCTCATACACCCCGGCAAATCCACATACAGTGTCAAATCCAACATGGTCAAGATCCATGCGCAGCACATCTTAGAGATCATCAAGTTCAGCTTTGACGCTTGTGCCTTTACAGGCAATGGGGAAGTTTTTCAACAAACCTGTGGCACATCCATGGGCAACCAAATTAGCCCAATTTTGTCGACCTGCGCCATCGTTGCCACAGAAATTACTTGGCTTCGGATGTATGGTACGCAGCCAGTGCCCACATGGCTGATCAACTTTGGATACGTCGATATGTCGACAATCGCGCCATCATCGTCGACACCGAGGAGCTCCATCGGAATCCACACATATGGCAGTTGGCGTCCTTGCACTTCTACAACAACCCCGTCCAACTCGAGGATGAGAACCACAACGACTTCTTAGGCTTCAGCATCAACGCCAACAACAGACAAGTGGCATATATTCTTCATATCCAACCCTGGAGATACAGACTTCCTCAGTCAGCGGGATCCATGAAGCTCCGACTCAGTGGATACCACAGCAGAAAACACATGATTGAGCACACGGCCTATCCAGAGAAAATTGCCAAGGAGCACGTCCACGCCCTGAATGACTTGTACTACAAGCTTGCATACCGAGACTTCGCGTGAACGCCCCTAAAATAAGACTGTCGTGTGCACACTCCCACTTGATGTTCCTAATGTCGTTCAGGGCATTTTTTTGGTTTTTCGTTCTTTCGTTGCACTTTGGCTTAACTGGAATTTCAGGGTCCAAAGGATAGAAGCTCGCCGCCATCATGGCGTCGAAGCATGCAACGAAACGACAAGGAAAGAACTTGGACAAGGACGAGATCAGTCTCACGGACGTGGACACAGACTCCGACATTAAAGAACAACAAGTACGACTTCCGCGTGGTCTTCCTGCAGAAGTACAGCTGCCGCAACTACCGCCAGCAACAGACTCGGAAGTAGAGCAGGAATGTCAACGACACCTCGACAACAGATACATCCTCATTGCAGTATTCCCGTGGTTATCGCAGCAATTAAATTCGGAAATTCTCCGAGCCTCTGCATTATCTCGCAGGGGATTGCCTTCCAAAGTGTTCACCAGCCGGCACCAATGGCTTTCGAACCAATACCTGGAGATTCCCGTGGGCATCAGCATCATTGGCACACATTTTCCGGGCATGCACGCACACAACATTTACAACTATCTCCCTAATTACTGTGCAACGTCAGCATGAAAGTCCACACCGACAAGTAGCACATGGTGGGATCATCTAACATTCTCATACCGCTCACACCTGTTCGTAGACGGCAAGTATGGCTAGAAGAGGAACAAGGGCCAGATCTTTTTCCACGTGGACAGCATCAAGGACGCAACTGCAACCTAAAACTCCCCAGCCTAGAGTTCAGCCCGTTCACCAAGCACGCCACGTGCCCCTGGAAAGATACCCCCGCCTTGTGCTCTCGGCTTACACGACATCCCGCGCAGACCAGATCACGTGCTAAGACTACGTCCACCTGAAGAACCTTGGATTCAATATGCAGCGCTTTGACTGAGCTAATTCGCGGTGTTTCTTCGAGCTGATTCAGCAGTATTTTATCGCGTTAATTCGCATTGTCGCGCAGTCTCCCTATACCACCATCGGAAACAACATGTGCTGCTGCCTTTGCTCCTTTTTCCTTTCTTTCCTTCTCTCGTTTTGTAGCCGTTTCCTAAGCAGTCTCATACCTGCCCATGGTCGATAGCAAGCCCAAGCCCACTTCGCGACACAACATGGAACCATCGGCCCGACGACCTCGCCTCCATCGCAATCTGCGTCGCAATCCACGAGAGGAACTTCCTGAACACCTACGATTACATCATTTGCCAATCAAAGACATCCCCCCGATGGAATATCAAGTACATGTTTGGACCTCCGACCTGCGGACGTACAGTCCGGATCGAAACCACAGCGAGTCCAGGCACAACAGACATTACAATGAAACCATATGGAAAAGATCTATGCGGATCGTTGGACTTAGCCATCAAGACCCAGCACATCTTCGCTCACGGCATGTTTGAGCTGAGCTATGACATCGCCACGCTCCTCCGTTTGGCTCAAGTCAACAGGGTGACGTAGAGCAGATGCCGAATGACCTTAGTGACCAAGAATATGGACATGAAGACTACACAGACGTCCCCGAGCGCCACAGACGGATTGGCCGGCCCATCCACAAGAACGACGATGCCATGCCCACGGACGTCCAGTGCTTTTGGTTCAACAAGCGCATACGCAAGTGGAGCCACCACAGACTTCCGTTTCACCAGTTTCTCAAGCTTGAAGTTCGCCAACTACTGGCAACCAGAGGGCAGGCATCACGAAAAAGGGACTATATGACTACATGCACTCAGAGCTGTGCGTACGATGGTTGCCCTTGCTCAAGATTCCTTGGTGTGCCCTGGCCGGTCGTTTTCGTTTTCTAATAATCACCTAAGTAGAGATGAGTTCGCCTATGAGGAAACGGAAGCGTAGTCGCACTCCCTGAGCCACGGGAAGAATAATTAATATTTTGCTGAGCCTCCAGATGTTCAGCCTGTTGTGATGAGAGCAACAAGTTCGCCATAGGCGTCCAAGATGTGACCGGCATGCAAAATATCATCTTCTACGAGGTGCGTGTGTGTGGGGACCCCAAACTACAACGGGAGTGCTTACAATGACTGCATGTGCAGGGGGACCGTCTCGCAAGCATTGTTGACGGTCCAACGAAGAGGGCCATGTTTGCGACTGACATGGACCGAGGACGCTTGATCCACGTACCTGCTATAAAGGCCGCCCAAACTGTACCCTCAATGCTGTTGCTTCGTATTGGCCTCCAAAGTGATCTTTCCAGTGCATCTTTGCATGGTTGCTGCAATCTGTTGTTTTCCGAACCAAAGCCTATTGAGAGACCTCCTTCAACATTTTCCTTCCTGAAGTCTCCGTTGAGTCGTTGGCCCTGCTCGGAGTGGATATCACTCATGAGAACTCAGCACCAGGGTTTGCCTGGAGTTCGAGTGTGTGTGTGTGTGTTTGTTTGTTTGTTTGTTTGTTTGTTTGCGTGCGCGCGTGCGTGCGTGTGCGTGCTTGTTTGTGCATGTACGCGTCCGCGTGTGCAGAGGTCAGCTGGTCTACAGTATCCCAAAATACCCGGCATGAGAGCCACAACCGCATCAGACTGGTGGCTTCAATCCGAATGTCATTTGCGGTTGGGCCACATCTTTCGCCTGACATGTTGTGCATCACCACACCTGAGGATATGCTAGTGGATCGCAATGGTTCGCAGTGACGCGTGGGATGGCTTCCACGGTAGCGAGCAGCTTCTCCAATGCCTCCACCCTGATTGGGACCATATTCCGCGACCTCACAGCTGTAAAGCAGCCAGACGAGAGTTTCTTCCAGGTGCTTGGGTTCAAGGTTTTATTGTACAACGCTTGCGAGTGTATCTGGCGACCCGTGGTCCTGAAAGCCACGAAGAGGCTGTTGTGTTGAACACGCAGTTCTGCACCAGCTATTCGGACTTCACCCTCCATTGGACTGACAAAGACAGCATGCGCGAAGTCCGCAGCTTGACCAGCGAATATAGTATACTGTCCCCGGGCGTTCTGGGGAACTTGAAGGAGGCTTGGCAGCATTGTGGTTGCAGCTTGACCAGTGTTGTTGGTGGGCTGTCTTCACCAGCAGCACCTCTAAGGATTTCGCAAAGATCGAAGAAGTCCGGCAACAATCTTTGCGGCTGAGTGAAGATCAGTGAAACTTGAAGCCCACGCCGTCAACCTTGAACTGCCTCAGCCGAGGTGGGCTTTCTTTGCCAGGAAGTTTGACGACAGTCCGGAAAGCTCTCAACTGAAGGACAATCAAAGAAGCTCGAGTTTCGAACGGTAGAGCATGCCAACTCAGTTGGTTCGATTTGGACGGTAACCCAGCCGTGGCAACCATCGCATTTTGTTCATGGTGCCTTGGAGGATCGGTTGGATGCCGAGTCCAGCCGGCAGTCCCGGCCGAAGTGGATAATGGCACCTTTGATTCTGACTTTTGATGCCGAATTCGAGCTTTCGGGTGTTACGAAGACTGAAGACTGAACCTGTTCATGGCGACATTGAAAAGTGTCGTAATCCAAGAATTATTGGCAGGCAAGCGTCCCTTCCGTCGCAAGCGCCTCGGCCAAATGCCGTGAAGCGAGGACAAGGTCTCGAGGAGTCAAGCCTCAGTGAACCAGCAAAGTTGAGGAGTGGTAGAAGTCCTGGCCAGTTCGCTAGCGGTGGTCAAATCTGTCAAGCGCTTGCAAAGAAACTTAGAGGCACTGTGAAGCAACGTTGCAAGCAGATTGTCAGTGACAAACCGTCACGGAGCCAGGAAACCATGACGGCATTTTCAATCTACAGACTTTGCAGCTGCAGCTAGACGCTTGACTGCACACTGGGAGCAGGCTGCGCGAGGAAGTCATGCTCGGCACCTTTTCCACTCTACACCGCGAGCATGGCTCGCTGAGTCGCTTCCAGCCGAAAACCAAAGATGACAGGCAAGGAGGCCATAGGAGGCCCATTCGCTCCACGAAATGACACGAAAACATCGGGCCCCATCATCGGGCCAAAGTGCAGATGGAGAGGGACGGTGCAGAAGCGCCAGAGCCAGCTCCGAACTCCCGACTCACTCTGAATTGAAGCCATTGGGGCGACAAGTGCTACTTGTACTTCGTTCCGATTGTTTGGACTTTCCTTCGGTAGTCTTGTCTCCTCCAGTCTGCCTTCTTCTTCTTCTTCGGTGTACCTTGAGGTGGCCGTCATCAATAGTGATCTTGCGCTTTGGGGGGCTCAGTCTGGAGCTGTGAGGATCTGAACCTGGTTCTGTCGCGCTGCTCGGGAATTTGAATCATCTGGGTCAGTCAGTGGATTGCGCCACTGCATAGCAATGTCGAGGGAGGCTCATGAGCCTCAGTAACCTCATTGCCGGTGCCAGTCGGAGGCCAAAAGGATTCGAGAGGCAAGTACCACAGTGAAATGCACTGTGGCTTGGTAGCCAGCGGCTGCTTGGCGTGGCGTTGGCTACTGCTTTTGGTTCCTCGTGCATTTCGTGAGCACAACGCCGTGTTTCATGATGTTTCCGGGACTAGCGAGGGGTTTCACCGACAATCATGTCGAGATGTGTAGCCGCCTCGCTTCGTAGCGTTGCACGTTGCATGCAGACAGCGGAGCCTTGGCCTTCGCTCCTTGGCTCAAGCGTGGCGGGAGTCCTAGCAAGGCGGGAGAAACAAACAAACATCAAAAAACAGTCCGAATCGTTGAACACATGCCCAACCCGCAAGGAGCCAGGACACGAGATTCAGGTCCGCGAGAAGCTGGCTACGCCTAAATTGCCCCATCCGCTACTGGCACTGCGGGTTGGATGTGATTGGTCCTTGCTGGCATTTGGTTTTGCACAAGGCCTTGTGGATTCAGCGAGGATGGGCGGCAGGCTGCAACTCAGGAACAAAACGGAGCTGGTTTTCGATGGGGATGTGTCTGCCGTCTCGGCATCCAGTACCGGTCCCCACAGCTGCTGAGCTCAATCGGCACTGGCTGCATCGCTCTGTGTATGCCTGCTTGCCAGGATGTCCAAGCTTGTGGGCTGTTGCGCACTGGCGCATGTCGAAGAAGCCGATCTCACAGGCTGCTGCGTGCCACATTCTACTGCAAAGCTGAGCACGCATGATGCATGCTGACGAGCGTTTGAGGTGCTGCGTGCTGGCAGTTAAACTGGACGGGTTTCGAGTGTTTCCCAGGGTGGTGGGGCGATACCTCCTCCATAGAACAGAAGCAAGTAAACGAAGAGGTGTGGAACATTGTGGAACCACGTTGGCCCTTCTGATCCTTCTGTTTGTTGATCCCTCGGGCCTCCAGTCTGCTGGTCCTGTCCTCGCACGGTCTTCTGCTCCAGCTCTTTCCTGATCCCCAAGCTATTGGGAAATTACATCTGCCACGGCATTCTCTTCCGGCAAGCTATTGAGAAGTTACTCTGTGCGACATCATCATGTGTCGCTGCAAGCGGAGGAGGAAGTTTGTCTGCCTCGTGGTTTCTCGAAATCGCCGCAATTTGACAATGGCCTCGGGTTGCCACAAAACAGACACTACAATCGAGACCCGCGGGCTCCATAGGCAGGAGCAATAAAACACCTCCACCTCATCTATACCATGGTTCGATGTAAATGCACCACAGTTTCGCAGCGTTTGCACCCAGAGACTGTTCCAGAATACAACCGCAGCAGGGAGCGATTCTTTTTTTGGCGGTACGTCCGGCAGTGAAAGTTCGAAGTGTCGCTTTGAAAACTCTGCGAGAAGCGCAGCGCCAAGCAGCAAAACAGATGGCTTCGCACCAGTCAGCACTTAAATGCCGCTCTTTTCCCGGCAGCTCAACATGCCAGCTTCACGGCGCCCAATTTCAAATCATAAGTGAGACGAAGCGCAGTGTGGCAATGAACCCAGAGCCCCGCGACATCCCTCTGCAACTGTTCAAGCAGCCCGGAACTCAATCAGCGAAAGTTTTGAATTCATCATTCAATTTCTTGAGCAGGGTGAGTGTGGAGTCCAAGTCGTCCATGTTCAGCTCACAAACCCTCTTCGACTGCGCCGGTAAGGCCGCAAAGGGTTCCCTGAATGTGCTTGTGGTCGTCACCGGGAAACTTACTTGGTGCTGATCTAGGAACCACCGCTGGGACCACTGATCAGCGGCAAGACATGCTTCATGTCCAACATCCAGTTTGCGTTTACTTGTAGTTGGAATTAGTTGGACTGGAAGTTTGCTTCGCGGCAGGAGGTGGTTCTCGTTTGGATCGATCCCCGAGGGACACCGATGCAGATACTTGATGGCATGTGTCTCTGCAATGTCCGCACAATGTCCGATGCGTGAAATTGGTTTCCTGCAAGCCACGTCAACCCAGAATCTGGAGGCATGCGCCGATATCGATTTCGGAGCATTCTGTGCTTCTTTGGCACCGGTACACAGCGACTCAGCCACTTCCGCAGGGACAGTGGTCTCTGGAGGCAGAAGCTTTATCCTGCTTCTTCAGCTTTGTACAGCACACCTTGGCTGCAAATACTTGCACAGTTGAAGGTCAGAAGCAACGACCATGTTATCGCACGCCGGCATTTCTTCGCCTATGGCGATCCTTCTGATATCCCATGGCGCAGTGCAACTTTGCAACAGCTGTTTTCATGCTTTGGAAGAGTGGGCTGCCAGTCGATTGTTCACAGTGCTGGTGTGAGCTTTTTCCTTTGCCAGCGCGTCTCCTGGCGGTTAAGGTAAGGGAATACTTCGACATTGTCACCTACTAGCTCCCTTCGCCATCGCCCCACTCTGCCGTCTGGAAGGAGGCGCACGTCTCGACTCGGTCTGGTCGGCTACGCCGCTACGCTCGACTGGCTCCTGATGTGCTGTGCTTCGACGGAGCAGAGCATCGGATTCAGAAAGCTGGACATCGTCCCTTCGGAGTGGTTCCCGACGTTCCCGACCCATTTGCGCAGCTGACTGCTGGCATCCTGTGGCCCGCATGCCCGCATCGCTCTGCATTCGTGGCAGCACTGTCACTGAGGGCAAAACTGAAAGAGTGCTTGAGCATTCCGGCAGCCTGTTTTGCTTGCCAGAATTCCAATTCGGTGCAGGTGGCGTTGCTCAACCAGCAGTACCTCCTTCTGCGGGGCGACATGCGATAAGCCTACAGGATCATGAGTTCATCAGTTCTGGGACATGCTTGGCCGAGCCATCCCGGAGCTGTCCGTTCATCATCACCGCATCACATCCGAGGCTGTATCTCAAGCACGAGATGAATGTTTGCAAGAACTGGGTGCGCTTGTTGTTCAAGTTCACAGACTGAGCTCAATCCTGCCCATGGGCTCAGGTACAACAGTCTGTCCGGTCAGCTTTGCAAAGCTGACTCGAAAAACAGGTTCCCCTCACATTGCTCGCACGCACAGGTGCTCGTGGAAGGGTGTTGGAGTTTTCATAGCATATCAAGCGGGTACAACTTGACTGACCAATACGTTTTGCTTTCGCATGCCTGACAGGCCACGGCGGGTGACCACAGCAAGTGACAGTTGCAACAAATCTCGGCACATGAGGCTGTCAATCAAAATGTTCTGACTCGCTGCCGTCCATTGCCATCTGACTTGGTTGGGAGCTAGCCTGAAGAAGATTGTCGCCACAGTTTGGTTTTGTACCATGAGGCTGGCTCAAGTCAGTTAGCAGGATGCCGACCCCATTTAACTTGCCCGAGCCACAGCAGCCAAGCGACAAAAGCTCGTGGACTTGTTCTTAGTTGCAGTTTGCTCGGCACGCGTTTCCAGAATATGAGCTCCAGAATTCTTTTTGGCTGAATTCAAGGAAGCTGTCCAGCATGAACCTGCTGCAGGCTCTGTCTTCATGTCATCCGGCATAGGTTTGTCAGACGGCTTACAACACGTTGCCTTGGACAGGCAGTGCTGGGAAATGCATCAGGCCTGGAAGCTGACTTTGGTAAACCTTGTCAAGCTGGGCCATGTACAATCTGCAGAAGAGAACAACGACAGCGCGGCACAAGAAACAGCAATTTAAATTGGACAAAGGGCTGGACGGGAAGGGCAGGGGTGCTCAGGGCCAGAGGCCGGAATGGCTGGAGGGGGGTCGGGAGCGCCAAACCCCAAAATTACATTCAGAGATCGCACGTGTGCAAAGTCCTGGGCGGACCCGCAACAAAACCATCAGAATCCAACAAGTTGCATCCTCGGAGCCGATCTGCCGTGAGGCCGCCTGGGAGCAGAGTAAGCCATTCAATTTCCTTGATGGAGTGTTTTTCGATGGCTTCGTTCGGGAAAGGCTCAGGGTCCCCCCGCCAACAATTTCAACACATTGCCTATGGTTTCCTAATTTTTGGAAATGGGGTGGGTTTGGAAGAGCCGCCTAGAGCCTTTGCAAGACCTGTGGAAGGTTTGCGATGGCAAAGCCTGTGCCCACCCACAAACCCAGCAAATGAAAGCATTTGCTGTCTCACAAGGAAATTCAGCCCTGCCCACACATTGGTTGAGATAGTTTCCGGCAGAGGCTAAGGCGTTGCAGGATTAAACGCCTCTCCTTGCGCAAGTCCCGGGTGCAAACGGGTGCTGTTCAGACATCGCTCCTGAAATAAGCAGTCTGTTAAATTTCAGCATGAGCCCCTCAACTCCTTCACTCGCGGGATGTATTTCGAGGTTTCCTTGAAGATAATTGAAATTTGCTGAGTGCACACACGGTTTCTGCATTCCGTGTGACCCGCATTTTGACGCACGGCCGGTCGGCCGCGCAGGGGGGTCGATGTCTAAAACCAATGTGTTCGTAAGCTAGGCTTTGAACTACGAAGTCTTAAAAGGGTTCCTGCTATGGCGTCTTCAATTGGGAGGCTTACGCATTCCTCGAGACCTTGAGACACTTTACATGCAATCCTTGTCGGAATTCTCTTGTGGCACGGAAGGACCTGATTGGACAACCGCGTGTTCTATAACGGAGGATGATGCCGCAATGCTGAAGATGCAGGAGTCCTCGTTTCTGGGCGTGGAAGGAGCTACATCGCTGAAGGCTGAAATTACTGGCGGCTTGGTTGGTTTACACAGTGGTCTCTGCATGCTCATCTCTATCCCTCTGCCCCACTAACTGGACAAAGGAGCCAGACAGGCACAGAGAGAGGAGTAGGCACAGATATGAACTACTTACTCAACACAGACACGCTAAGTACAAGACATGTTCCGTGTTTCTACTGATTCTACTGCTTCTTGGAATCGTTTCGCAGTGAGGTGCCTTAGCATTGAAACTGCGAGGCCGGAGGCGAGACGTGACTACCTGAATTGAGAACCTCAGGGTTTTTCTCCGTCAAGTATCCACGGCCAGTGGATCCAGTGGTGTCACAACCATCTGTGGCATTAACACTGCCGCTGCCAAGTTATATACTGGCGACAGACCCTAAACCCGCGCTTGGTGCCTTCAACTCGGCAATTGTGCGGGTTTGTCCCATCACACCCACACGACACGACAAAGGGTCACATGTTTTCGCCCAAGACAACAATATGACCCGATGCGCGTTCCGCCTTGAATGGCTTTCGGGAGTGGAAGGACCAACTTGGGTCCTGAAGAGCAGGCGCAGACATCCGGCGTGAACAAGGCTTGGCAATGGCGGCTTTGTTGATGGGCCTGGGCACGCCTCAATCAGAAGGCAAGCTTGTTTGATTCTTTGGCTTTGGCCACAAGGCCCGGAATGGCCACAGAGAAAGGGGTACAGCAACTTGCTGGGCAACAGCGATCAATCTTGGGTTGGTGTGGCTGAATTCCCCAACAGCAACAAAGGTTTGTCGTCCATCACTTGATCTTGGTCGATGTCCCGTTTGTGTCGTGGTCGGTGTCCTGGTTGGTCGGGTGGCAGTCAGTCACCTGTGATACAGCTGTGCGAACGAAACATTATGCGCCATGCCATGTGCAACAGAAGGCATGTTTGCAAGATTTTGCAAGCAAGCATGGCCGCAGCCCCAGCCACCCCTCCGCAGACCATACCATAAAGGCGGGGGGGGGAACGCCAGACGCCTGACCATGAATTATGGGCGATCTGTGCTGCTGGCCGGTACCGCCGCCTGTCAGTCGAACTCTTGAAAGCGCGTGTCCCCGGGCGTCACTCGGAGCATAGGACACCACATCTTAACCCTGGGGCAGCGCTTGGAGCACAAGGCAGCTGCAGCAATTCGTGCTAGTGCTTGGGCACCAGTTGGACACAAAGACACCGGCAGCAACTCGTGACATCTTCGCCCTGCAGCGCCGCTCGGAGCCCGGCAATGAATCGTACTGTGCATATCTGTGCATCACCAGTTGGAGCCCAAGACACCGGCAACTAATCGTAGCGCTGGGGAGCCAGTGGGACCCCGAGACAAGCGCAGTGCTACCCGTAGCAACTAGCTATAGAAGCACAATTAGCCAAGTGTGTCACGCCCGCAAGGACTGAAGAAAGCCGTCTCCAGCGTCAGTGGACCAACACGGCTCCTAATCTCAGGATTTGAAAGGCTAGTCGGCCAATCACACCGGGTCGTAATGCTCGGCAACTATCGCAAGTATGAAGGCTCGCTCCTCCATGTCCAAAGGAGTCTCCGGAACCTCAGACAAACAGCAAGAGTCTCCACATCCGTCACAGTCTGTCACCCCCAAGACATATCGCTTGTGAACATTCGCGCCTGCATCTCACCGTGGCTGGGCCTAGCAGGACAATGCTGCGCCGACAATCACATGCAGACAAACGACACATGCCTGCAGTGCAGTGCTGAACAAGCTCATATAGCAGCGTTTTCCACACCAGTACGAATTAGTACTGAGGCACCTCAGACACCGGCAACGAATAGTACATCTTAGCGCCGGGGCACCACTTGGAGCCGAACACACCGGCAACTAATCGTACATCTTAGTTAGCCCTGCGGCACCACTTGGAGCAGTAACCCTATCGCGGTGTGTGGATGCAGAACATGCTGCTCGACAGAGTGGTGCCGGGGATCAATGCCCCTGTACATTGCACCCGGACACACACTGGGCTCACCTGCCGGGAGCCTTCAACACTCGTGAAAAATCTGTCAGTCGAACGTCCTCTTCTTCACAGTGCAGTTTCCATCTTCCCACGATAGTTAGAGTAACTTTAGTTTGCAACCTGTGCGTGGTCCGCATATGGCATAACTTCAACGGGCAGATTCTCAGAAGGTTTGCCTATGAACGTTGTAAGTTCCTGCTGACCTTGTGCTAACATCTCAGGTAAAATTCCAGAACTGAATTCCGCAGCGCACTACCGATCTGCACGCAAGCTGGTGCAGGCAGGTCTTGGCTTGGGCGGTAATGCAGAACCTGAAACAGATGAGCTTTTGCTTGACAGGACCTGGGGGGCGCACCCGCTTTGAAAGAGGAGCTGATCTATTCAGGGTATGTGGACGGTCAGGTGCTTAGGTTCCTTGTGCTCTCATGTGCACTGCCGACTTCGAATCAAGTTCCTCCTGGCAGTGGCATGGTTGGGGCTTTCTAATTTACACATGGGGGACCCGCTTTTCACGACGGTTCGACCTGAGAATTGCCAGGCTTAAAAATTTGTGCTGCGCCAACCTTATTTGAGGCGAGACTTCGAAGCTGACGCTGCTGGATCGGCCGATGAACATCTTCGCTTTGCTGTCAAGCGGCACTATGCACCTCGACGCAAACTTGGCACCGACTTTCGTCTAGCTCCCGAGACATACATCCTGGCTAAGGAAGCAGCCAGAATCTGAAGCCGAGCAAGACGCTTGCAAGAAACCAGCTTGTTCTGGCCCTCCCGGTACGTGCTGTAGCCATGGCCACTACGGCACAAAGTGCTGAGGCGCTTGCCCAAGCCTTTCACCAAGAGCACATTTTGCATGCATTGAGGACATGCTGGGCACGTTCAAGGGGAAGTTCATGATATGCCGGAACAAGCTGGAGAACGAATCTTTGCTTCCATGTTGGCTGCAGCATGCGTGTACAAAGTATCAGGGACGGTGTTGCCGTGTAGGACGGTAGAACGGCTGCCAAGTTGCCTCTGCGTCCAGCATGTGCCTGGCTCTGAGGATATCAATTGGGACAACCCGGATATGAAGTGGGTCAAGACATCATCTATGGCACGTTTGCATCGCTTCTTGACAACGCGAGATCTACATTACCAGTGGTTCAACCCCTTGATCTTTGGACTGGTTCCAACAGATGACGACGGGGTCACTGCAAGGTCCGCATTGGCTGAAGTGGAGCAGATGAAGTCTGCGGCTCTGCTGTTTGCGAAGAATGCAGGCTGGTCGGACAAGGTTGGTCTTTTTGTGAATGTGTTCGGCCACAACAACGTGAATTCGCTGTTCATTCACGTATTAGACATGTCCGAGCTTGGACCTGCATTCAGCTACCATTCCTTCAAGAACTGCCCACTGGATGACGTGATCAAAGTCCTTAGAGAAGAGGCAGCAAGCAATTTTCTGCCAGCTCCTGTGAAAACCACAGACCTTCCTGGACTCATGGAGAAAGCAGGGGCCCGTCGGCGCCGCATGTCCATGATTGGCGAAACCCGTGCAGGAGGCGGAGGTGGCAATTTCTTTTTTGCTGGCACAGACGGTGCAACATCTGTGAAAGCTGAGGTTGTTGGGCGTCTTCCTATCATTAAGGATGCGGCAAGCTTCCGCGCCGCAAGGAGAATGCTCATGGAGGAGCTTGGAGGTATGCCGACCCTCAAGGAAGAGCTGATGAGGTCAGGATTTATTGATCCAGTGACTGGCAACCTGACCACTGGTACTCGGCCGTTCAACGTTTTTGCCCGGATTGCTGGCGGAGTGATGACGCAGCCAGGTATGGACAAAGAGCAAGAGTACCTAGGAGAATTTCAGAACCATTTCATAGTTGCCTCGAACTTGCCAGCCAACGATGAGCATTGGGACTCCGAAGACAAGGAATGGGTAGGGAAGGCTTCGATGTCGAAGCGCCACCGCTTCCTGACCGTTCGAGATCTTCACTGGCAGTGGTTCAATGTTTTGGGCTTTGGACTTTTGCCTGAGTCGAAAGGAGGTGCTGGACTCGGTCGGGCCATCGCTTTAATCGAGGTGATGAAAGCCGCAGCACTTCGGTATGCGCAGAACTGCCCGGGATGGAGTGATCGGGTGGGCCTGTTCTACCACGTCTTCGGTCACAATTCCGTCAACTCCTTACACCTCCATGTTTTGGACATGGCAGAGCTTGGTCCGACTTTTTGGCACTACGAATACAAGAACTGCCCCTTGGACGTAGTGCTCAAGGTCTTGAAGGAGGAGGCCACCTCAAACTCCATGGGTTCCGAGAATCTTGGCCTTATGGCAGAAGTTACAGAGGCTGCCACGGCTGCCGCAAAGGCTGCGGCGGCAGCTGCAGAAGCTGCCCTTTCCGCGCAGCGCCCTAGTGTAAAGGGTCCGAATGGTGTAGAGATCCTTACGATCAATGTTGGAGGAGAGCTTCTGACAGTGAGCAGGCAGACAATGCTTCAGGCTCCGGAAGGTAGTCGCCTTCGAATGCTCTTCCAGGACGACAAGCTCCGCATGTCGCAACTAGATGCGAATCAGCGGCCATACCTCAATTACCCGGCACCTGCCTTCAAATGCATCGTCGATCACCTCCGGTTGTTGGCGGAGCTTCCACCAGCGAATGTGCTGGAGCCTTTGGTTGCGCCTCCTTGGCTTGACACACAGGTCCGCGATCTAGCTTGGATTCTCGGCGTTGAGAATATGATCGTCGACCCGCAGTCTGGCACGAACTTTGGCACAGCACGATTAGCGAGGCGAATAAGCAGGCCGTTCTGTTGCGTGAGGAGGCGCCCTCAGGGCCTGGGCCTTGCTAGCGACGGGGATGATGCTGAAGCGTCGGACTCTAAGGTTTGATAAATGTGATATTGATAGCATTTCCTGTTTCACTCACCTGCGAAGCAGGTAGAAGATTGTCTTGATTGCCTTGTCGGATTATTTTTCGAGTCAGGAGGCGATCGATCGCGATAGAAGGCTTCTCCTACTCGATCCTTGCGGAACCCTGCCGAGGCGAAAGAGCGCAATTGCAAAATACGTTGCGGATGCAGTACCTTGAACTAGCCTGGGAGATGCCGATGGCTCTGAACATTTTGTTCATGTACCATAACTCCATGGCCCGCACGACGATTTCTCTGCATTCGGGCTCGCTGACAGTTAGCATTTTTGCCACAGCCAGACCAAACATGTCAGATGCTGTTGTCGGCCTGTGGCCATGGCAGCCCCAGAGCATCACCTGGAGAATGGAGGATACGTTCGTCATCCAACGATTTGCAAAGGAAGGCTCGCATTCGTGGTGGAAGAAGACATTTGGTTGACAGAGTACTGTGCCAAGGGGACGCAAGGACCCAAGCATCCGAGACGCATGACAAACTTCGGAAGGGCTGCGCACCCGTTGTTTTCACCTTCGGCGGACTACATTGCCTTTACCGATTCCTCCGACCTATGGGTTCTGACCGTCAAAGACGGAAGATGCAGGTTCACAGCCCAGTGCTCACTAACTCATGGCGTCGTGCAGTGCGACATGCCACCGAAGTTGCAGGCGCCTGACATGGTTTGCCATGGGCGCTTCAGATTGCAATTGGTGTGCAGGTGTTCGGAGAGCTTTCGAGTGGCTCAGGCGACTTGTGGCCGGCTGCATGGAAAACGGAGCAGGAGATTGCCTTCACAAGCACTTGCATCTTGGCGATATTTGGCGAGTCAAGGCCGCCTTGCAGCCACTCGTGTTACTTGGCTTGATGTTCGGACCGGCTTCCAAGGTGAGGATCCTTTCGACCGGTCAATTCTCTATACGGTCTCCACGGACGGCACTGGTCTCAGCACTCGGCAAAAGGAGCACACGCGAGGAGCCTCCGCTTGAGAACACACAGCCGACTCCGCAAGAAACACATCTTAGGCTCTTTAGAAATTGTGTACAGTGGTTTGAAAGTGCATGGAGTGTGAATCATTACGCTGTCGTGTCGTGTCATCGACTGTGAAGAGGGAGGCCGGCAACTGACACGCACACCAGGCCCCAGACAGCTGGAAGTGGTTCTTTCATGCCACGCATGAGAGCGAAGTGAGCTTTTCTCGCAGAGCGTTTTGGCTGGATGGACAGAGGCCCCCTAGCTGTTGGCGTAGGAGCCGGGGCGGGAGGGTTATCCAGCACTCTTCTTGCGGCTTTCTTAGGGCACTTCAGGGATTCGACTTCGGAGCCCTTTTTGTGCCCCTCGCCGGCCTTCGCTGAAACCACTGCGCCCCGGCTGGACTTTTATTTTGGCCTGGCGCTGGGGGCTCTGCTTGGGATAGCAGCGGGTGCGCTTTTGGACCTTATCTATCTGGCCCGGCAGCACTTAACGATTTCTTTGAGGAACCGTTTGGCGAGCCTAACTTTGACTCGGTCCCGCTGCGCATGAGCCAAACTGGTGCTTCACGACTGGAGTTGCTGGTTCAGGCTCTATCGGCCCGGCTGGATCTGGTGGAGCAGGACAACCGTGATCTACGAGAACGAGTGACCCGACTGGAGGCTGAGGGTTACGTTTTGGTCAACGACCGAGCGGACACGCCCCCTGGGCCCTCAGGAGGTGACCCGGCCTCTACCTCTTCTTCTTCGCTGGCGCCTTCGGTGGCCCTCGCTTCTACCTCTTCCCCGCCTTCGAGCTCTTCGGTGCCTCTCTCGGACGCCTTCCGGCAACAGGTTGCGGACGAGATCGGGGCTTACCTCCAGCGCTGCCTTGCGGGCAACAACCGGGGCGGCAGTGGACGTGAGAAGGTCAACTTGGCAAACCGGATCTACGTGATCGCCCGGGACGCGACCGGGAAGCTCTACGATCCCGTCTGTGTGCGGTACGCCTGGCGGGACACCCAGCCTCTTGTTACTGTGGGCCCCGGTCCTGGGAAACAGTTCGGTGACAGTGTCTTTGTGGGGTTCCCGAGCAAGTGGGAGGCAAAGAGGGCAGTCACTACAGCAGGCCTGAAGTGGCCGGCTGATGGCTGCTGAGGAGGAGGCGCGAGAAGGCGAGCCGGGGTTGGACCTGCGCCGGCACGCCTTAGCTACACTTACAGGTCCCGACCTCGCCTACGGCTTGCTGGCGGTGCGGAGCACGGTGGCTGAAGCCCCTCCTTGGGTTGCCTTGGTGGTGATTGGTGAGAGCGAGGCGGGAGGACTGATCGTGGCCCTCCCCGGCAGAGCTTGGCATCGGACCCAGTCTCGGCGCCTGGTGCCGACCAGCAGCTTCCAACTTCCTCGCGGCAGTCAGGTGCGTGTGGTGGTGCCAGAGGAGCGGGGAGAGCCCTTAGAAGAGCTCTCCGTGAAGATCTGGATCGGCCGCCTCAGCTCGGACTGGGCCCGCTACGTGGAGATCGTCGAGGTGGGCACGGCGGACCTGGAGTTGGGCGTCACCTTTGGGGAGTCCCTCGAGGCAGAGCACGCCGACTGCATACCCTTTGCCCCTGACGTCGTGGAGGCGGCGGGCGACCGGATTGCGTACCAGACGGCCGAGGAGGAACCCGACGGCAGGCCGGCCGCAAGCAGCGAGCCTCCCACATGGGCCACGCGGGTGGAGGAGCTCGAGCGTGGCATGGGCGATGTTCGCCGAGGCATCCGGGAGATCTTGGGCAAGCTTGGAAAGCCGGACGGGGAAGCCACAGCCAAGTCGGCGGCTCCTCGACCTTCGGCGCTTCGCAAGCCAGCAGCGCCTGCGACACGGCCGGGGGTCGCCGGACTCGACCCTGCTGTGGTGCAGGCCGCCCGGGCCGCGGGCGTCCCCGAGAGCCACCTGGAGGAGATGGCGAAGGTAGTCTCCCAGAGCAAGACCCGTCTGAGGGACCCGACACCTGCCGCCAAGGCTGCTCCTTTGCTTCCCGAGGCGGGCGCCGGACCGCTGGACGAGACCGAGGAGGAGGACGATGTGGAGGAAACTTTACCCCCTCCGCCTGGAGGCGACCAGGTCGCCACGGCCATTGCGAAGCTGACGGTCATTGCCGAGAACCTCACCGCCTCGAAGCGACGAGCCGCTACTTTGGAGGGCTTGCTGGAAGGAGGAGGTGGCCCCGAAGGGTCTGGGTCTGCCGCGGCTGGCCGTCGCAACGCAGCGGCTTTGAAGGTCCTTCGCCGAGCCTTGGTGGACCACCCCCGGGAGCTTGCGGACAACATGCTCGAGCGCATGGGCGCCGACTTTGGGTTGGCAAGGACTGTTCCGGGAGCCGACAGGGTGCCCATCACAGCGAGGGCCTGGGTGGAGAGCAGGGCCCGCATCCAGCAGCAGTTCCCGACGACTGTGCGGATGGCTTGGATCCTGTCGGGCGTTGTCGACGCGCTCGCCCGTGGCGACACCGACGAGGGCTTGGCTCGCTCCCTGGTGGGCTTAGCTGCCATAGAGCAGCTCAGCTTGGACAGAGGCAGCTGGACGTTGGCCGAGCCCATGTTGTTGGAGGAGCCCGCCCCACTCAGCAGCTTTCACGGGCGGCAGATGCCGACGGGCAGCGAGCAACCTTTTACCCGCCTGCTGGACGCCCGCTCCATCGAGCTCCTGGTGTATCAGGTGAAGGAGGTGGACGACTATCTGGAGAGGCGGCGACGCCTGGGCTCTCGACGCGGTGCCCCCCCGCCTTCGCAGGAGGACGACCCGGAGGACGAGGACAAGGGGGCGGCCGAAGAAGCTCGAGGCTGGAGGGGGAAGCCGAAGGCAAAGCCGAAGGCGAAGACGGCCGCCGGCCGAGAGAGTGCATGACCTCGCGGCGTTTGAGCCGCACCGGGCGTGGAGCGCCTGATGAATTCGTTAGCGCTGGAGAAGCTCCTCCCCGAGTCCCTGGAGCAGCGGCTCGGCCGATATTGGCGGCATCCTTGTGGACCTCGCTGCCGCGGTGGGTGTTGAAACAGCCCACCCCTTTTGCCTCTTTTTTCCGATGCCTGGTGACACAAAAGCCTAAGCAGGAAGCTCCTGCTACCGGACAGGCCTTCCCTATGCCTTTGCCCTATCCGAGCGTCTACGTGAGGAGCGTTCGGCGGCGAACCTCGCGCCTTCGAGCTGCAGAGCGGCATGCTGTGAATTTGGTGGTGGCTGTGCTGTCTTGGCTGGCTTTGGATTGCCCGGCGGCCGGCCCAGCTTGGATCACTTTGGGGCAGCCGCTCTCCGGTGAGCAGCGTGGGGCAGTTCGCCGTTTGGAGGGTTCTGTCCGAGTTTTGGTTCGCCAGCCTCTGGTGGGCCCCCCTGAGATGGGCCGGGTGGCGGCTAAGGTGGAGGCGGTCGAGCAGCAACTTGGCAGGCTGGAGACGATAGCCCGGCGCTTGGGGCGGATAAGCGGCCACTACTTGAGTGCCCCGGACGATATTGACTACGATTCGCCGCTGCCGGCGGGGTCTGGCCCCTCCCTGCGCTCTTCTTCCTCAGGGCGGCCCTTAAGTGGGACCGCCTCTTGCGGGTGGGGGCCGGGCTCTGCTGAGGCAGTGGCGTCTACTACCACGACGGGGCCCGAGCCTTTGAAAGGCCATTCGCCGGCACCCGCCGCCTTCTTTCTAGAGGACCCGGCTGCCGAGCATGCTGTGTGCCTTCGCCTTGGGTTGGAGGCCGAGACGGTTGCTAAGCCACTGGAGAGCGGTCGGCTGAAGCTCACGGGCCGTCCGGTTTTCGACCCGACCCCTCACCTGGACCCCGAGGCCTGCTCGCACTACCGGGACCCGGCCGCGTGGATGAAGGACCCCGAGACTTTGACAGAGGCGCTTCCCCAGCCGAAGTTCAAGGCTACGCGTGTTGAGCGGCTCCGTGTGCTCAAGATGCTGGACGACACTGACCGGCTCCGCTTTGTGCCGGCGAGTTGGGTGGATCCCCGCTTCACCAGCGGCCTCTTCGCGATAATCAAGGACCAGGACCGGGACAGAATGATAATGGATTGTCGCTGTCCCAATGTCTTGGAGAGCCCGACGGGGAGGTGGATTCGTACGATGGCCACCGCCGCCTCGCTACTCACCCTGGCCTTGGACCCGGACGAGGAGCTGGTGATGGCCGGAGAGGACCTGAAGGATTATTATTATTTTTTCCAGACGCCTCCCGCCCGGCTGCTCCGCAACATCGTGGTGGGAAAGCTCCCTCGTGACGTTGCCGCCACCTATGCCGGCTTTGGCCACGCTGAGGACGGTCATGCTTTCTACTACGCGGCGCTGAACACTCTCCCCATGGGGGACTTGAACGCCGTCAGCTACGGCCAAACAGCACATGTTTCTCTGCTGTTGACCCACACCAACGTGCAGCTGGCCGAGCTGCTCACCTTGGACAGCCGCCCGCCACGTGGCAAATTTGCCACGGGGATATGCATAGATGACTTTGTGTGCCTGGAGCGGCGGCTTAAAGGTGGCGGGCTTCCTAAGAGGACCACCCGGGTTATGCAAGGGATGCGCCGTGGCTATGTGCAGGCCGGCTTGGAGCGGAGCGAGAAGAAGGCCTTTGAGGGTGTCACCAAGGCAAGCTTTTGGGGCGCGGCCGTCGACGGTGAAAGCGGAGATGTTCGAGCCCTACCGTCGCGGGCTTTGCCTGTGATGGGCTATGTCCTGGAGATCGCCCGGCTGGGGCTTTCGACTCGGGCCCTCCTTGACTTGGTGGCGGGCAGCCTGGTTGCGATCTTTTCGTTCCGGCGGCGGCTGCTTAGCATGCTGAACCTGGTCTACTCCGAGGGCCGCGGCCTCCCGAGAGACATGGTGTTCTCTCTGAGCCCTGGCCTGCGAGACGAGCTCATGACCTCGGCCATCCTCATCTGCACCGCGGCCACAAACCTTCGAGCCCGACCTTCCCCAGTGCTGGTTGCTACGGACGCGTCTTTGGAATGGGAGGCCGGGGTCGAGACCGAGCTTGGCCCGGTGCTTTCGCGTGAAGTTGCCCGGCATGCTTTGATCAAGCCTCTTTGGAACCGGCTGCTGCGGCCAGGAGCGGCGCGCGAACGAGCCGTTGGGACCCTGCCGGTCTCCGAGGAGCTGCCTCAGGACGAAGTCAAGGCGCACCCCCTTTGGTCGAAACTGGCCCGAGCTTTACAGTATGGTGGTGCTTGGCGACGGCCCTGCCGGCTGGGACGGCATATCAACATTTCGGAGGTGCGGGCGGGGCTGCAGGCCGAGCTCAGACACGCGAGGCGGCGGCCCAAAAGTCGGCTGAACTTGGCCATGGATTCGCAGGTCGCTCTGGGGGCTGTGGGCAAGGGCCGATCGAGCAGCGCAGCCATCAACCGGGAGCTCCGACGCAGCCTTCCGGCTCACCTTGGCTACGAGAGCTACCTCGACTTGATGTACTTCGCCTCGGCTGAAAACCCGGCCGACGACGGCACTCGCAACGTACCCCTTCGCGAGCCGAGCGAGAAGCTCCCTGGATGGTGGCCCTCGGCAGTGCAGGGGGACTTCGCTGAGCTGGACCGTTGGCTGTCAGAGCGGGGCGCTTTGCCTCAGGATGCATTGGAGCTGCCCCCGCTGCAAGAGCTGGGCGTGATCCGTGACAGGGTTGCTTCTCGAAGAGAGGCCCGGCAGAGCTGGTGGCAGCAGCCGGCTGGGCGACGCATGCGCGGGTCACCTCTGCAGCTATGGCGGACTACTGGCGAAGCCGCTCTTCCCGGGCATGTACAAGATCTTCTGCGGGCCTTCCCCGAGCGGCAGTTCCTCACGGCCGGCGGCAACAGGCCGGACTTGAGCGAGAAGGGCTTCCTGGACCTCTACAGCGGCTCCTTCGGCGCTGCTCGCTCCTTGGCGCGGCGGTCCGGCTGCTGGGTCCTCACTTTTGAGCTGCGCCGCGACGCGTCTGAAGACTTACTGGAACCCTCGTGCCAGGCCCGGATTCTTCGGCTGATTGCGGAGGGGGCCTTCTACTGTGTCGGAGGCGGCCCGGTCTGCTCTAGCATGAGCCGGGCGATTAGGCCGCCGGTGCGTTCCCGAGAGTGCCCTTCTGGACTGCCCGACTGCCGGCCGGCCATGCGAGAAAGGGTTCAGGCGGGCAACCGCCATGCCGCCTTTGCGGCCGCGGTTGTGCGAGAAGCAGCTTGCGTCGGCACCGACTTCTGGATTGAGAACCCGGCGGCTTCCTTTCTTTGGCTGCAACCGGAATGGCGGGAGCTCGTCGAAGGGGCGGCCCGTCCGGGCGACTACTTTCTGGTAGACCTTTGTCGTTGCGGCTGCTCTTGGCGCAAGCGAACCCGGATCTACACCTCGACGGCCCTTCGCGGGCAACGGCTTTTGTGCACTTGTTCGGGCCGCCACCAGCGTCTCAGTGGCTATTGCAAGGAGCGGCGGCAGATGTGGACAAAGGTTGCAGAGAGCTACCCTCGGCCGTTGAACGGACTTCTGGCTGCGGCGGCAACTGAGACTATGCGGCCCAATGGCGACCGGCGACATGTCAGTGCTGGTGACATTTGCCGCTGCGGCTCGCTACGAATCGGTGAAGCAGACCACCCCGGCCCGGCGGAGCAGAGCTTGGAGGACGTACAGCTGGTCAGTGCCCGCACCCAGGAGCTTCAAGCCCGACTCTTGGCTGACTTCAGGGTGTGGTTGGCTTCCCAGTTCTCCCGCCCGGCTCGGGTAAGCTTAGAGGGATGCGCCATGGCATTCTGTGCTGTCTTGCGTGCCTACGGGAACTACTTGTTCCAGTCTGGACAGCCCCTCTATAAGTGGCGGCACATCTGCGCCTACTATCAAAAGGAGCGGCTGGCCTTGCGACCATATATGCCTATGTGCTGGGACCTGACAACAAGGTGGGAAAGGCTGTGCCCGACGGCACACCGGACTCCAGTGCCTTTTGCTCTGGCTCGGGCTGTGATTTCACTTGCTCTGGCCCTGGGCTGGGCTCGCTTTGCGGCTGTGGTTGGCCTTTCGTTCTTCGGCACGGCTCGAGTTGGTGAGCCTCTCCGGGCCCATCGCGGCGCTATCCTTCTCCCGAGCGACTTGTTGCTGGACGAGCTGCCGACCTGCTACGTAAGGGTCGAGGCCCCGAAGACGATCCATCGTGGAACAGGCCGAGTGCAGCACTTTGTGGTGAAAGAGCCCTCCTTTGTGAAGTTTCTGGAGCGCCTTCTGGCCGGCCACACCCTCGGCGAGAGGCTGTTCCCGGCTTCCGCTTCAACGTTCAGGCGGCGCTGGGACCACATCCTCGACAAGCTTGGAATCCCGGCGGTTGTCAAACTGACGCCGGGGGGCCTTCGTGGCGGGGGTGCAGTTTACCTGTACCAACGTGGCACCCCGCTGGCGGACCTGCTTTGGCGCATGCGCCTGCGCTCTCAGGCAACGCTCGAAAGCTATCTCCAGGAGGTGGCAGCAGTCAGCGTCCTGCCAGCGCTGACTGCTACCACCCGCCAACGGATAGCTGCGGCCGCTGCGGTTTGTGACGTTCAGCTTGAGCTTTTCCGGCCTAGCAGCTAGTGGCAGCACCAACGCCACTTTCTTCTGTTGGGCAGCTGGGGTGGAGTGGAAAGAGCTGACGAGATCCTTTTGAAAGCTACCGTGGCCCTTTTTAATGTTTGCCTAGAAGGCTTCTCTGGTGGCACGGCGGCAGTTACAGGACTCCTGCAGCTTCAGACAACACCAAACCGGCTTCGCCCAGGCATGGAAAATAGCGAGACCGAGCGAATGAGCTTTCATGCCACGCATGAGAGCGAAGTGAGCTTTTCTCGCAGAGCGTTTTGGCTCCCACCCACCCACCCGGGTGAAGGGGAAAGAGCTGACGAGATCCTTTTGAAAGCTACCGTGGCCCTTTTTAATGTTTGCCTAGAAGGCTTCTCTGGTGGCACGGCGGCAGTTACAGGACTCCTGCAGCTTCAGACAACACCAAACCGGCTTCGCCCAGGCATGGAAAATAGCGAGACCGAGCGAATGAGCTTTCATGTTCATTGCTGCCTATTTTGCCACAGTTGCATCTTTGATCGTCCACACGTGAAAGCGTGGGATGGATCTGTTGATTTTGTCATGCTTGCATCTTGATGGATCTATTTGCATGCGTGTCCCTATCATACTATCACATCCGACTGTAACCCTACTGCATAGGAAATATCGCAGTCCGTCAAAACCCAACTATCTGTCAAGCGCAGGCAGAAAAAGACAACAGGGATCCTGTGCAAAAGGTCGTTGATACTAGACCAGTTGACTGGGAAAACTGTGTCATACCATGATGTACCATGCCATATGATTCGAGGTTATGCCTTTGCTATGTAGGATCCATTGCAAAATCAGAAGCTGGGCCTTGAATCAGAAACTGCATATCAGAAACCGAACCGAGGCTCGGTTTTTCCGCCGCGCATCGGCAACCGCGCGTCAGAAACCAGTGCATATCAGAAACTGCACATCAGAAGCCAGAACGCATCAGAAACCAGCGCATATCGGAAACTGGAGCTTGGAAACTGGCGTGGGAGCTTGGAATCAAGGCTGGCGTGGTGAGAAGAGTGCACCCATGCGAAAAAACATGATGACGTCCATGGCGTTCCGAGAAGAGAGCATTCATAGCCCAACAATGATAAGCATCCATGGCCCAATCATGATAACTTAAAGTCCGTGGTCGCATGCGCTCTGAGGAGAGAGCATCCATGGCCCAACCATGATGACGGACGTCCATGGTCTGAGTCTCATGCGTTCTCAGAGAGAGCATCCATGGCCCAACCATGATAACGTCCATGGTCTCATGGTCTGCTGCGTTCTGAGCACAGAGCATCCATGACCCATCCATGATAACGTCCACACTCGAATCTCACGAGAGAGCATCCATGGCCCAACCATGATAACGTCCATGGCCCAACCGTGATGACGGCATCCATGGTCCAAGCATGATGACGTTTGTCGTCGACTACGTTCTCAGAGACATGGGCATGGCCCAACCATGATCGGACGTCCATGGTCTCATGCGTTCTCCGAGAAAGCATCCATGGGCCAACCCTGATACCGTCCATCTTCGAATGCGTGCTCACAGAGAGCATCCATGGGCCAACCATGAAACATCCATGCTCGAGTGCGTTCTGAGAAGAGAGCATCCATGGCCCAACCGATGCTATAATGGTCTAGTGCGATCTGAGAAGAGAGCATCCATGGCCCAGCCATGATCACATCCATGGTCGAGTGCGTTCTCACAAGAGAGCATCCATGGCCCAACCATGGTATACCATGGTCTAATGCGTTCTGAGAAGAGAGCATCCATACCCCATCCATACTGGCGTCTATCGTCGAATGTGCTCTCAGAAGAGAGCATCCATGGCTCAGCCATGATGACTCATGACGTCCATGGTTGAATGCGTTTTGAGTAGAGAGCATCCATGGCCCAAACAAGTTGACGCTAAGACCGAAGTACAATCTAGTGGAGCGCTGAGATAGTTGCCGCTCCAGGCCCTTCCAGGCCTTCAATGCTCGTAGTCATGGCTTCTGGTTTCCGGATGATGCGTCTGGTTTCTGAATCAGCCGTTCTAGCCGTTCTGGTTTCCGAATCAGTCGGTCTGGTTTCCGGTCGTGGTTTCCGAATCAGCCCGTTCTAGTTCCCGAATCATGGCTGGTTTCCGATTATGTCGTTCTGGTTACGGATTCAGTCATTCTGGTTGCCGACTTTTCCACCGACCACTATGCAGCGCTAATTATTGTTACAACTTTGGTGTGTTGAATGAATCATGCTATGCTACCATGCTTTGGGCCTTTGCTTCCTATCCTATGCTGCCTAGGCTTGTGGTGACATAGCAGTTCTTGCTAGTTGTATTGTGTTGCCAAGTGCTCATTGGGTGGAATCGACCTTGTCTTCAATTTGGCAAACTCAGCCTGCGATAGACGAGGCGGCGAGCCAAAGAAGCTTTTCGAAGGAGAGCAGCTTGCAGGCACTGGGCAGCCTGTGACGAGTCAGCTAATAAGACAACGGCCGCTTAAGGTACGACGCAATAGCGTTTGGTCCAGCTGGTGGCATCTTGGTGGGCCGACACACCAAGGACACACCACGTACCCTTTGGAAGGCCACACGCGTTTGCGCTTCGATCGGATACGTGCAGTGATTCGGTTGGGACGGGTGCTGTACACGAGTGTTCATTAGAGGAAGCACGAAAGATCGTCCATTTCCGCCATGCCGCTCTCTTTCGTCAGTCCACTGACATACCTGCATTTTCCCTTCGCAGGGCTATCGTGGCGGTCAGCATGGCTTCTTATGGATCGACGTCGGTTGCGGAGTCTTCGGGCAAGTTGAAATTAAAGATGCTCGCGGTGAGGCTTGCCTCAATATCAGTTATGTGACTTGGCAGCACGATCGATTGTTTTTTATTGCAGATCCAGATGGGTCGGGCAACGTCTGGAGCACGGGCTTGGATGGCCGGGATCTGCAAAAACACACCTGTCATCATTTCTTCGATGTGAGATGCTTGCGGGGTGATCTAGCAGATGATTTGGTGTACACTATAGGCGGAGAGCTGTGGCACTTTAACCTGTCTACATCAACGGCAGAACGCATTTGGCTAGATTTTGGCCACTGCCACGCAAATCTCCCCAGGGGCCTGGAGGCTTCAGCATGGATTGATTCTGTCGTGCTGCATCCAGCTGGGCATACAGTCTCCTGTCTATGCAGGGGCAGTGTCCATGAAATGGCTTTGTGGGAGGGGCCCGTGGTGCAGCTCCTGCAGCAACAGCACGACGTAGAAGGCAAAAAGGGCCTGGAAGATGCAGATTCCTCCCGGCCTCGGACATCCACGCACTGTGCCGTGCGTTGCGTAGCGATGGAGTACCTTTTCAGTGGTCGGCTTCTCACAGTGACAGAGGCTCATTTGGACGACGGCATCACTTGTGAGCATTGGGCCTTTGTCCTTCACCCTCCTCCATGCCGTCCACCCGACCGTGCGAGCGCCGATGCGGCGGCAATGTCGCCAGTAGAGATCTTGCATGGTTTCCTGGTCGATCTCGGGAGTGCTGCACAAAAGTTCACTTGCTGCGAGATTCAGGGACAGATCCAGAGCATGACTGCGTCTCCAGCGCACGATGCAATAGTGATAATCACTTCTCGGAACCAGATGTGGGTCATGGAGCTTCTCAGTGATGGGCAGAAGCCTTCTCCGGAGGACCCTTGCGCGAAGCTGGATGCGCTCATCACTGCAGAGACACGGCTGCTGGACTCTAGTGATTGGGAGGAAGGAATTTCAGATCCCTGTTGGTCGCCGGATGGTGCATGGATATGTTATTGCCGGAGGTGCTTTGCTCATGGTTCGTCTGTTGTGCTGATCAATGTAGAGACCTCAGCCCAGACAGTGGTGGCAGATGCTACATTCTCGAACAGGTGTCCTGCATTTCATCCGGAGGGCCTCTACCTAGCTTTTCTTTCCGCACGACATTTCGCTCCGCTTGAAGATGCAGTCACTGCTGATTTGACTTTTGCATCTGGCACAGAACTCCCTTTCCTGGTGCTTCTGACAAGTGACACACCAAACCCCTTCGAGCGAATGCTGGCCTCACCCGCAAAATTGGATGAGGAAGCCGACCCCCCGACCGATACAGATTCGGCTTCGGAAACCCTTGAGGAGCCGCTGCAAGTACGGATTGATGTGGCAAACATCCAGACCAGAGTTCTGCAGTTGCCGGTGGAGCCAGGTAACTACACTACTTGCATGTGGACAGCAGCCGGCCAGTTGTTATACTTGAGAGAGAAGCCCTTTGCATCAAACCCATACGTTGTGGAGGACGAGGATGAGCCACAGGCCAAGAACACGTTGTTCGTTTTTGACCTGGACAAGTCAAAGGAAGTTCAGCTTTGGGACAATGTGACGAGTATCAGCACAAGCTTAGACTGCGAGAACGTTCTGCTGTGCGCTCAAGACGAAGAGGATGCATATTTTGTGGTGAAGGCAGGCGCTGGATTGCCGGAGGAGGATGTGGACATGTCAAAACCAGGTCCCGAATCTGGCATGCTTGACTTCGACCGGCTTTCCATCCAGGTGGTTGACATAGAGGAGTGGCGATCGATGTTTCGCACCGTAAGCTGTTTTGTTTCAGAGCAGTTGTTCGATGAGCAATGCGGGGGAATAGACTGGAAAGACACGTGCAACAGGTATTGGGCAATACTCCCGCGCATCCGGAGCAGTGTTGAGTTCGAGGACTTGTGTGGCGAGATGCTGTCCGAGCTGGGATTGAGCCATGTCAGCTTCACGCTAGGCACCGAGGACGCTGACAAGATCCGGTGCAAGCATTTGGGCATAGATGTTTCCTGGCTAAATTTGGAAGGTGGAGGCGCCTATCGTGTGGACGAAGTGCTGCGAGGGGACGTTTGGGACAAAGAGTGTTGCGGCCCTGCTGCAAGGCCTGGTGTGGGCATCACGGAAGGGGCCCTGATCCTGGCTGTGAACCGCATGAGGGTAGTGGAAGATGTGTCAATTTCGCAGATGCTTGCCGACACGTCTGCAGAAGTATTCCTGACTTATGTGCCTGCTCAAGAAGTTCCCTCGTTTGCCAAACTACAGAAAACTTTTGCACAGCATGGTGGTGCCGATGGCCTCAGACGGCTTCGCAGGCAGTCGCATGCCGCTAAGACACACAAAAAACATGGTCAGGCCGCGATTAGTGGGAGGACAGTTGAGAAAGGCCGTCCTCGCAGGAATCGCGACGGCAGAGCAAGTGGCAAAGCAGATGACTTTGAGAGAGAGCTTGCGGCTCTCTTCAAAAATCTGGAGATTTCCACAGAGCAGGTCTGTCGAACAGCTCGCATTCGTACGGCAGGAGCGAATACCATGCGCAATGTTCGCATGAGAGACCTGGTTGAAGCAAGACGCCGCAATGTTCACGAGTCAACACACGGCCGGGTCGGCTACCTCTATGTCCCTGATACCACTCGCTTGGGCTTCGCGGAGTTCTATCGACCCTTGCATGGATAATTCCGCTTTCGCATTTTTCCGATTGCACTGACAGGAAGTTTGCATATGCCTGCATAGGCGGTTTCTTGTTGAACGGTTTGTGGTCATGTCTGCGTGATAAATTGCGCATCTTGGCGCGTCCGCCGAGCTGTCTGCGGATGTCGGTCACGAAGCTTCAACAGCTCACGAGATTCGTTTCTAAGCATGTTTAGGCGACCATGTCAAAGCCACCCGCATCGCAGCAGCCGTGACATGCTGGCCGGGGCTGACGGGAGGTTGCATTAGCGCGTGGGCTGGACGTTTCTGGGCTCATGCTCGGGCCGATTCGGGCCTGTCAAAATCTGTGAACGACGGCGAGGAGGCTGACGAAAATCGCTGTCTAGGTTCTGCAGCTCTGCACCCCTTCACTTGGAGAGCACTGCAGACACTGCGGGGATTTGGTCGGATTTTTTCGAAAGCACATCGGCGGTATTCTGTTCCTTAATCGGCCTTGTCGACTCAATCCCAGTCCTCAGAAAATGCCTCTCCCTCCCTGCCGCTCCGTTTCAGAAGCTACTCGTATTGCTGTTGCGGAACAGAGGCTTGGCTCTGCATGCTAGCTCTGCACGAGGGTAGGTCTGCAAGCCAAGATTTGCGAAATCGGGTAGACTGTGCCAAACGAGGAGAGGGTCGGAACATATCGCCGCGCGATTCGGGCATTCCGGCGGTTTAAGCAGCTATTCAACTCACGCACCCGCGCTTCAAGCACCATGCGCAAGCACTCGACTTTAGCGTAGGGTTTAGGTTTGAGGGTAGCAGGTGACGGAGCCTGGTGTGGAGTTAAGGATTTCGGAAGATAGAGAGACCTACAGATTATAGGGTTTTTGATGTTTTTTGCGCTGAAGGTGTAGGGCGTTTGGTTTCAAGCTTTAGGGCTGCTAGGGTTGCTGTGATGGTCGATGATGTTGGGTATCCCAACATGTGTCTGGCTCGCGTCGCGGCTTCATGTGGAGGCCTGAAGTCCTGAAGGGACAGCTGTTGCGTGGTCTATCGTGGTCTTCCGCATTGTGCCGTGGGGCGAATCCGGCGACTGCGTGTCCGGTCACTGACTCCCTCGAGAACGCGGATCCATCATGTGCCATGGTGGCCAATCCGGCGCCTGCACTGCGAAACGCCAGGGGCCAGTGCGTGAATCCTTGCTGCACTGCCCGAATGAGTCTTTCGAAGACGGCATGAGGCAACTTCGTGTCGTTTGTGCCGGTCCACTTCTACGGTCCTGCGTTCTAGTTGATGCGGTTTGTCATGTCACGGTGCGGTCTAAGCGGCCGTCGTTGGCGGGACTTTCTTGACCTGCAATGAGAGTCTTCAATTCACGGCAAAAGCGCGACTAGGTGTTCTTTAAACATTAACTTCCTAAGCTGTGTTATATTGCCTCTGTTTGGCCATGATTTCCCAACCAGAGCTCAACCCTGCGAATTTACTGTGACATGGATCTTCTGTTGACCACGGGCTTTCCAGCAACAGCCCTTGCAGGCCCTTGCACCATTTGCGCATTCTGAGAGCTTGCTGCTCAGGCTGCTTTGCTCAAGAAGCCAGTCGAGATGCCTTGATCATTGATCTGCGCTGAGACTCAGCTGCGCTTGTGGCCAGACCATGTTTCGATTGCAGACAGCAGAACTCCTCAGGCAACAAGGGAGGCTTCGCATCGGAGCTCTTCTTGAAGCAGCTGCGCCTTGTTGTGAATTTTGGCGGCACCCGCCGCCATAGCGCCTGTTCCGCCATTGCTCCAATTCACAAACATCCACGAACCAGCTTCTCTGTTTTAGTCTACCTACATGTAAGATCATGTATGTAAGTGTCCATCCCGACAGGCAATGCGGTTTTCTCGGCTGGACGGTTCCTCGCCCTGGTCGCATGCCGACACGCTGTCCAGAACTCTGCACCAGCGGAAAGCTTGCCTGACACCGAGACATGCACGACTGATGTCCACTGAGCCTTGATCTTAAGTTTAGAGTCGCCAGAAAGCCACGCACTTCTAAAGGCAGGGAATCGCATCTCATCGTTGACAATTAGTTGTCGTCATGGCCGCACGCTGTCCAGGTCCATCACGACCAACCGTTCATCGCGGTTGTCTGTGAGTGTGTTGAAAATGACTGACACGAGAGACCAAAGAAAAAGATCCTCTTTCGCGAAAGATCTGTGCACAAGGCGGAGGAATGCGGAGTACGAGGTGTTCTCAATGTTTGTTCTGTCTTCGAGCTGCGTCCTCTGCAGGCCGGTGCGAGTGGCCGTGGCGACTCGCAGAGTCCTAGGTTTCTTTGGTCTCTTCAAGTTCACAAGGAAGGTTATGTCGGCACTGGCGGTGGCTAGAATCAGAACCTCTCCGGATGAGCGCGTTGAATATATCAGCTTCGACCTTCGTTGGCCCTCGCTCGTTTCGCAAGCCCCTACAATCTGAATACTTGTGCACCACAGCAGGGGCGACAGCTGTCGAAGCGCTCGATTCCTCATCTTGAAGCAACCAACAGTGGAATTCTGAAGGCACCCCGGCTCCCTACACAGGCAAAGCTCACAATTTTGACAGCATTTGTCAGCAGTCGCAGCGGTAAACTTTGGCCGAGCTCACCTCTTGCTTGACGGAACCCCGGGCCCCGGTTTCCTTGCCATGGCTGCCCGCACTCTCCCCTCCTGATCGGCTGCAATGATCTATGAATCTATGACTTTCCTGCGCAATTCAAGTCTCACTCAAGTTGCATGCCTCCAGAAGGTGAACACATCCGAAGATGGGCTTAGCATGTGGTCGGACTTCGTTTCCCTTCTTTGAACCAGCCTGCGTTCGCTGGCCGTGTAGCTACGCGTATCCACTCGTCAGCTATGGCTGGGACAAGCTTTCACACAGATACTTGCAGCATCTCGCACCAAATCTCCCGGGCTAACGTGTGATTCTCCCTGCAACTCCTTATGCTAATAACCACGTGGTGCCTATGCGCGATGCGCCTTTGGCATGCAGGCTTCTGAAAGCTGGGGCTAGTAACTGGGCGCTTATGGAAACAGTGGCTGTTGATTAGATATTCCATTGGCCCGTGATCCACTGGTGACTCATGAAGATCTTGTCATGGCGTGTTTCATCCTCCTCGGCCTTCATATAGCATGCCTAGGATATGTCAAAAAGTCTGTGCCGCAAAAGCTCTGTGGTCATGTTGGCTCTTCGCAGCACCAAGGGCTCGCGCAGGTGGCTTTCACCTGCAAGAGAACGATTTTGACTGTGCAGCTTCCACAATTTTGGTTTGCAGCCCCAGCAGTGCGTGTACAGCCCGAACGCGTCTGGCTTATGATGACCCGCTCGATTTGCTCACTCAGTTTCGTATTCCAAGAAGCCCAGGCTTCCGGTCAACGGAAATCTTTTGAGTATCGGCTTCGATCTGAGAACATCAAGTCGGTTGTTTCAGTCTTCCTGTCCCGCTGGCTCTTTCGCACCATGATCCTCCGCGCGTGTTCTTTCACAAGCTGTCCGGCCATGGCTTCTGTGAGCATGTGAGGCGTGAGTGACCTTGAATCCTGAATTGAGTCTAGCCAATCGTTTACGTGAGCTAGACGAGTCGTTATCCACGACGTTGATTCGGCTGGTTGTGCATCTTGTTGTCGTTGACAAGGGGGACGTGTACTCTGCAGATCTCTGCAGTATACAAAACCATTGCCGAATGTTATCTGAATATCGGAGCGTAGTGACTGCGCGAGTTCCCCATCTTTTCCGTGCGTTCGATGGCCTGATCCCTGCTCGCATCTGCCACTCATTGTCTACCACTCTACTCACTCTTCCTCTCCTTCCTCTCCAGTATCGGACTCCGCAGGAAGCTTGCATGAACTTTCCGTGCCAACAGTTCAGGTGCTTCTCGTTGATGAAAACACCTGCTCAGATGGAGAAGCATGCGCCGAAGCATTTCGACGATTCAAGCTGGGAGTTGTGTCTCGGCGACGACACATTGGCGACATGCGGTAGGTAATGGCTTCCGAAGTATCTTACGAAGTGTTTGGCTACTTGATCCACCTGCAGATTGTCCAAGGTTGTGGGCGTGAGGACATGGGGAGGTGTGGGAGCCTTTGTTAGCCGAAAGCGGCAGGGTCGGCGGTGCAGCAGTGAGACCTCGATTCCGATTCGGCTCTGGGACCGGGAGGTCACATCAGTTGGTGCTAGTGATCTTGACCTTCTGGACGGGAGCCAGCTTGTCCTGCAGCTATGATGCACGTTGTTTTCACGCAGCGTGCCTTACCAAAAGTATGCGTTCCGACACAGTTCGAGGCCAGATTCTCATTATTTCATCCCTGGACCGTGGCTCGGCTAGGAAGTACTAAGCTGACTTAGCTGGTTGTTGCACGCCCCTTCCCCTGCCACGTTCGCTGCCTTGGCAAAGATCCAGAATGAAGCTTGCGTTTCTGATCATGTCGAGTGCAGTAAACCTTCCTGGAGACTGATCAGCTTGGATGGTCCATCTCTCTGGGCATCAAGTCGGATTCGGTCCTGAATCCTGCTGCAGCAGTTGCTAGTAAGTGGAGCAAGACCTGTCGAGTCACAGCCAGTGGCATTGAGACAGGATGCAGTAGTAAATCGGCCCTGCATGCCCTGCAAGTAATTATCCATTTTCCCCCCTTGTCGCATCTCAAAGTCTGGTTGCGGCTGATTTCTCGGCTGCTGCTGGAGGTTTAGTTCACAGTTCGCACAGAAAGGATGTGCACAGAAATCTGAGGACAGGGTATGGTCTCGAGAATTGGGGCGTGATGCCGGAATCTTGACAGCAGGCCAATACCAAGGCAGAAAGCAGTGGTTTTCGCATAGTGAGACCACTTCCCAGGACATCCTGTCAGAGTGGCCACCTGGCGGCCCTGCGGGTGCCGACCCGCAGCTAGCTGAAGGCATAGCTCAGGCAATGCAGCAGCTTCTCGATGTTATTTATTGTGATTCAGTAATCTCGTCTTTGCAGATTTCTGCTTTGAGGCTGCCTGCAGACTGCAGACATCTCAGACCAGAGAGTGCCAAAGCTTCCATGCCTTGCAGAAGTCTCGCACAAGGTGGCCGCCCCAAGTTGCCAAGCTTCCCTCGAACGCGACTTCATCGGCGAGGCTAAGGTCTTCATCGTAGGTCTTCCATCGCAGGCAAGGTTGACACGAAGTGCTGCCGTGCTGCCTGCCTGACATTGCTCCCTGTGTTTGAATCTCCTGCACGGCAGGCCGCGGAGAATCTAGCGTTAGGAGTTCGCCTTTTGCAGGCTTCAGACCGCGGACACTGGCTTCCAAAATCGCTTCGTCAGCAAATCATGCACAATATCACATGGTTACTCGCAACCAGCTGTCCAGTCTAAAGGATCAAAGCTGTCGGCTGAATGTTCGGCATCTGGCTCTCAGCACCCACGGGCCAGGTAGAATGGTGAGGCCCAGGTGGAACTGCATTGATCTAGCAATCTATCAGGTGAGTAGTGGTCTCGGTTCTGGTTCATTGATCAGGTGCACACGCTGGCGTCTTACTGGCTCGTTCTGACCCAATTGTTGCCGCTGCCTGCATGTGCTAGTCGTTATGTAGGTGGGGTGTGTGGGTGTGTGGCTGTGTGTGTGTGTGTGTTTTTTTTTGGTATGCCTGCGTATAGCGTCAGC